GCAAATTCACAGCCAAAAGTTTTTAACTGCTATTAAGAATATTTATAAATACGCTGTCAATAATTATAAAAAGAGGTTGAAGTTATTTAAATCAGTGACATTAACATCTTTGTTATAATATTCAATAATAGCCAGCCGTTAAAGTATGCATACAACCGATATATATTGAATTTTTAAGATTACTGTATTTTTTGCTGGGAAGGTATATGTAATACATCCTTAAGCCGTAAGAAATTAACCAATCACAGGTGAGAACGAGGGGAATAAATGCCTGTGATTGATTAACTTCTTACGGCTTAAGGCTTACAGCTTACTTAAAGCAAGGTTGTAGACCAACACTAAGTCCCAGTCTACAATAGATGATTTAAGCCCTAAGCCTTAAGAAATTGACCAATCACGAAGTACGAGTAGAATACGCGACTGTGATCGGTCAATTTCTTAAGGCTTAGGGCTTAAGTCGTCTATTTAGATGGACACTAATCGGCATTACGGCGAAGCGAACGGATCGTGTTACTAACGGAAATGAAAGAGCGGCGGCGAGCGCTACTTCGGAATTAAAAGTATCTCCTATTCAGTCAGATGCAGGGCAGGACGCTTGTTTCGGCGAATGCTGCGTACAGGCGTTCCTCGACGTGCGGTCGTTAAATCGATTTTTCGGATTCTCCTTTCGGGAGGCCTGAAAAAATTTATTCGGACTAGCAACGATAACTACGCGCACGCTGCATGTTCAGCGTTCTTTTTTCCATGCTGACTTATGCCGATTTATGCCGAAGGCTAAACAAGCACCAGTCAAAGATATCTCGGGCACTTGAACTTGATATTTGCCAATCGGGAACATCCATCGAGGAAATTTACACACTTCAGTCGGAAATGCTCGCGCAAATGATAATTTCTCTAGCGTAATTGTCGACGAAGCTTAAGATTAAACTTGGATTTTCGTGCTTTGACCTTTAAACATTTATCCTCTCTTTCGAGATCTTTCGAAGCTACGAGGAATCCTTACGGAGGGACTTGCTCTAATTCTTTATCGCGTAATCGTCTACGCTTTGCTAATCGCGTGAACAGGCGGGATAGGATTAAACGACGAGCGTTAAACATTATACTTGGTAATTAGATTAACGAGCAACGTCAGGTTCACCATGGAGAGAGATCGACCGGCGCGAATGCGAGGGGCGCGAAGACGCCTCGAGACATTTCCATTCTTCGACCGGATCGTCTCTGACCTCGCGTCGTATTAGAGCAAGTTTAGGAATGGACTTGTGGAATAGAATGGAATAGAATGAAGAGTCTATCTATAGATTACTCGGGAACGTGTCCCTCAGGTAGAATAAAGTAAAGTTTAAGGAGTTTAACGTTACAGCGAGTGACTCGTTTGCTTTCTTTGGTCGTTGGATCTGCACGATGCGCGTCTTCGCCACTTGCACGCGTTCGAGATACTTGGAAAGCGCATGATTCTCGGCTAATGAACTCCGCTATCCCGCTACATTTATCGATTACCATTATCAATAGGGGATTTAATCTTCCTCTTCGCGTTCACGTCGCCTCGTGTCGCTTCATGCGGCACGCGCGGAAGCGGAAGTGCTAAAAAGCAATGACAAGTAGACGCTTTTGAGCTCTACACGTAAATTTCTATGCACCTTATCGAGTCGTTGCGGTTGTGGCGTTGCCCCGGGAGTCCCACTTAATTCTTTCGTTCGCGAGCCGCGGCTGTCCTTCCTCGGGGCAAGGGCGGACCGTCTCGGGGACGGGCTACATTGTTGCGGATGTGTAAAAGGTGATAAAAAAACGATTCGTTTTACCGGCTATGCTTAAAGGTAACAACGACTTTCCCGCTCTCGCCGCGAGAGAGAGGATAGATATACTTTTAGGCACTGAATCGCACAGTTTTCCGCACCTAGGACTTGCCCCGGAGTGACACCGATGAACTAGTGCGAAGGAGGGGCGGGATTTACACACAAGATTCAGGTTCGTGTCCGCGCGTCTTCGTTGCTCCGGCTGGCATCATACTATCTGCTGCTTGAGCTTCACCAGGTTCGTCGCGCTGTAAAGCTTCATGTCCAGCGGCGCGCTCGGCTCGTTCTTCTTCGTCTGCGTGTGCCAGGCTAGCACCTTGGTGCAATTGTCCGCCAGCAGCTGGGCGTCCCGCGGCTCGAACGGAGCCAGGCTCTTCAGGAAACCATCCTCCTCGTATCCCGCGCGAAACGGCATGGTGGCGTTCGGCCGCTGATGCAGGAAGCTCACGCTCACGGCGAACCCGGCCATGTCCACCGGGAATTTGCGCCCGGCCACCCAGCCGTCGTAGAACCCGGCGAACTTGCTGTTCTTGAGGATCGGCGAGCTCAGCCCGAACTTGGTGCACAGCCCCACCGGGAACATCGACACCGTCTTCGTCTGGCGGATCTGAAAGGCATTTCGGATAAATTGCACCGTTAAATTTGTAGCGACTCAAGCTTGACTCCCACTCAATATGTTGTTACTTTCAACTTATCACGTGTAGTGAAATTAATTGTCTTAACGCACATTGTAGTTAATCCATTTTATGGCCTCTTTCAACCCCACTGTTCAATTACGATAAAATAATGGCATATTGAGTAGGAGCAATGGAGTTAAATTGAACAGCGTAAAAAATATACGCTCTCGCAATCGGTCGTACCTCGTCGAACAGTTCAATATCATAAGTATTGTCGTCGTCGGCGAAGTAGAAGACGCCTCTCGTGGCGTTCGCTCTGATCCACTGCAAGCCGCGATTTCTGTTGGACACCCCACGCGGCTTGGCGCCCTTCTTGAGCTTGTATTTCTCCGGCATTGGAGCTGCGCAAACGTAACGCAAAAGAAAAGTCACGCGTGCCGCACGGACGTCCGCGCTTCCGCGGCGGATTTGTGTATATCTCGGACATTCAATTACCGATTAAATGATCGAACTTCAAGCCCGTCCTCTCTAACAGTTGGGTCACTTGTTTGGTAGCGACGGCGGCGTCCTCGATGACGAGCCAGTGTATGTTTTTCACCAGCATCAACGTGTGGGCCATCCTCGTGAGCTCGGGAATCTGTTCGGGTCTTCGATATGTCGGCGTGATGATGTACAGGGGTTCTTCGGGCGACTCCTCGGAATTCGACGGCGGGGACGACGGGCGGGACGGCGTCACCGCCTTGTGCACCGCCGTCGCCTGGGGTTGCGATTGCGGCGGGGACTTGACATTATTTCTGGAGGCCGCCGAGACGTTTTTGCCTAACTGACTGATAAGTTCCTGCACGAGCATCGAGCTTATTTCCGGGCTCAGGCCGTTCGTGATTTGTACCCTGTACACGGCGTATCGAATCTGCAATAGAGAAACGATAACTTGTCCGACCGGTACCGGGAATTCTCTGACGTCTCGGCGATGATAGTCACTATCGCTACATAGTTATCACGTTGCGCAACTTTTTTTATTTACCATATAATATACCTGCGCAGTGTAGGCTAGCGACAGCGACAATCGTCGCCGAGAGAATTCCGCCAGAGAATGCGGGGAAAAAAGAATTAAGTTGTCAGATCAACTCTTATATACTCAAATTAGCGTTCATCGTTTTTTATATACGCAACAATCTACACTCTTCTTAGAAGCATTTAATAATCTTACATTCCAAGAAAATTACAGTCTTATTTAAGTACTATAGTTGTCACTTCAGGAATACATTATTGACCAGATCATTTTATCATTATAATCTTCGATTGGAAAATATGTTATTTTCTGTCCGACATCGTTTCCTTTCCATTCAAAAAAGTTCTTAAATAACAATGGTATATTTTTCTCCATTGAATTGTACAAAATTGATGCATTCAAGTAAGCTTTTCTTCCTTTAACGCAATGTAATCTCATTTCAAGATTTTCACGTTGAAACTAAACATATTTTCAAAAGAAGAATATTCTTTTTTTTTCTGTGTGCTAGAGAATCCCGGCACAGGGAACGCATCATGGAAATGTTCCAAGTGGATTCCGGTCGGAATAATTTCCGCTTTCCCTGGAAAACACAATAGAAATCTAGGGGCGGCATAGTCGGATCTTATGTTTAAGATCATCTTTAGATACTCCCTAATCAATGAAATGTTCCATGTAGCATCCCGAGGTAACGATCTTGCACACAAGATCTGACTATGAAGTCAAAGGCCGGTATTTATAGTCCGTTCTTGTTTCAACATCACCTTAAGCGATGTTTTCAGATGCTAATACGGCTCTGTGATTGGCCTCTAGCACACTAAAGCTATACTTGAGTTGATCTTAATACGAGAACGGACTATGAATACCGGTCTCGGAAACAATTGAGCAATTGCGATCGGAATCTGTCCCGAAAGTTTCCAAGATAGAGGAAAGTCCTCCGTTATGAAACAGGAGTCTGATATGAGACAGCAGGTTTTCAACGTCCAAATTCAATCGCGAATCTCTTTTCGCAACGATCACACGATCTAACGATCAATTTCCCACTAAACAGATTTCATTCCAAGGGCAATAAATTCATGGAACCAACGGACGACGCCTGTTAATTCAGCAGAAGCTCCGTTATCTCATATTAGGAGCCTATCTCATAGCGGGGGACTTTCCTCTACGTATCCTGGTGTAGACCGTAACGGCAATTGATGACAAATACCTTATCAGATAAGACGCGCTTCGTTTTAATTACGGAAAACACTGCCCCCGATATTGCATTATTGTAAATATCAATCCTTTTTTTTCGTTTTTTTTTACCATTTCCTCGGCGAGCCTCGGGGTTTTGCTATCACCCTCCTCGATCGGCAGATCCCCGGCGTCGTCTGCGGAGGTATCGGCATTGAAGGCCGTTACTTGATCGAAAGTAACGCCGGTGGACAGGTGATATTGATAAAAGACTACGCAGATCCCAATCAAGGCGATCACTCCCATTTTCATGGACGGCTTCATTATACCGATGCCTGGACTCAGAGAAAGAAACGTGTCGAAAGTAACAGCGGGGGGGATAAGAATAATATACAGCCAATAACGATTTCAACGCCCGAGTCGAAAGTTTGGTACTAATCTGACACCTTTAAGGATAATTTATTTAATTCACCTACTTAGCTGATGTACACCTGCATAGACCAGCAGTAACCTACTTTGATGACATTATGTTTTTTTACTCCTCCCGTGAATCTTTAATTCTCAAAATTTACTTTAGCTCCTACTTAAAAGGACCCACTTTAATGCTAAATTGGCAAAAGTAGAAATTTCCGGCACTACCGGTTTTTAAGCAGGAGTAAATTTTGCACTTGCAGTTGGACCTCTTTTTTCCATCTTAGGTCCTACTATATAATAGAATTGAAGGTTCAACGTAGGGCCAAAATTTCGACTCGGGGGGTATAGCGGCGCGATGAAAAAAAGGGTGAGAGAGGGGGGAAGGGGAGAAAATGGATGACTCGATTAAATTTTTTTGAAAACGCGCATTAAGCTATATTTAACGTTTTTAATCTCGTTCGGAGAATGGGAGTGGAAGATGAATCGGGCTGTAGATTAAAAATTTACTACACCTCAACTTCCACCGCCTCGCGCGGCAGGCAGTTACTTTCATGTCCTATTCTCGTATCTCCTCCGGACCGTGAGTTTCCAATTTTAATCTGATTCACGGTTCAATCCCATCCCGGGGAGGGCCGGGCGCCCTCCGCTCGCCGTGCATTAGCGCATATAAATGTATACCGTGAGAATTTTATGCGCGTATAAAATGTAAATTTAACTGTGGACGAAACGAAGATTAACCGCGGGGGGAGAGAGAAAGAGAGATATCCGCGAATTAAAACTCGACGTTCCGCATTGAAATGCATTTCCCGCCGTTCGCATCAAAAGCTCGACGCGCAGATGATCCCGTTTCCCGCGGACGATCTCGAGCGGAAAACGTCGAGTCGCCATAATAGCCCGGCGGGCGCGGGCGGTTGAAACGAAGATGTGCTCACTCACCCGAATGCTACATGTGTCGGCTGCTCCGTCGTTTCCTCTGCCTCTCCTGACTCGCGAGCTGCTTCTTGCCCTGTCATAAAAGTAATTATCTGCCGTAATGTTCGTGCGGTATCGTGCCGCGAGGCGTTTTTACATCTAGAACGGCATGATATACGGCCGCTATAAATTTATTACGCGGGTCTCCTCCGCGAGACGAAAATTCCCGGCGCGGCGCGGCGCGGCGCGGCGCGTCAACGGCAACTTCGGATTATCGTCCGCGATAATTACGGCTAATTGCGACTGTTCACGCGAGCTGAATCATTACAATTCCCCGACGCGTCCGCTTTGCAAACACGCGCGACGGCCGGGCCGATTCTGGCGCGATCGAAGGGACGGTCCTCCCGAGGTTTAATTATTTTCGTGGGTCATGTGGCATTTCCCGGGGGAGGGGACGGGATTCGCTCGGAGGAGGCGAGGGTGGAAGAAGGGGTGGAGGAGGGCGCAGGCGTGTCGACTAAGCCGATAGCGCGGCTCGCCGGAAGAACATCCGTCAGGATCCCGCGGACTTTGCCGATAAAGCGAGAGAGAGCACGCTTAAAGCGAAGGACCGTCGCCGTCGCTAACGAGCGGCGATAACGTTCGAAATTTATCTAACGAACGAGATACGCGAGATATACGCGCATGTTTGCGGCTCTCGCTCTCCCGCGAGACGCGGGAGCCGCGTGAAACCAGGAATCCCGTGGGCAGCGTCGTAAATTCAGCCTGTCCTTCTAATAAAACCCGGCCACCTCACGGCGGCTGGCTCGCGCTCCGCGCGAAAAAGGGAGGAGGAGAGACAGAAGTGCATCAATTGCCCGCGCGCTATTTCTTCTCCCCGATATCAAGCGTGTTAGCCGCGTCTATCATTAATAACCGCCGTCTTCCATCCGACGTATCGCCCCCTCGCGATCTTGCCAGCCTCTTTAGCGCGCCAAGACAATAGACGTAGTTGAACAGCATTCACAGTGTGTGATAACGCGCTGGGAGCTAGGAGCAACCTCATTCAATCCTTATCTCCGTCATTCTTCGGAGGATCCTCTCGGTTAACGCGCCGCAACGTGTTGAATAAATTTTATCCCCGCTCTCTTCTCAACGCCCCCCCCCCCTCCTTTTTTATATTCATCACTTCGTTAAGCGAAGAATGCGACTGCGCGCTCTTTGAGGGCGCCGATAATGACATTCTTTTGAGCGCTACGCGCGACGCGGCCTGGAAATGCTCTCTTCTCTAATTTACTTTCAACGTGTCGCTATCGCGACGTTCTTACGTAAGTCGTGTCATGTGCAGGACGGCCGCTCTAAATTACGCGACACCGAGAATTTAACGCCGTCTCTTCCATATCGCGCGTCACAAACGTACTCCTTTTCGCCCCGCCCGACGACGTCAGCGGCGGAGGAAGAAAATAATAACGCCGATAAGATCTTACCGTCTTTATCTCGCGCGACGCGAGGCGGCGGCATCCCCGTGGCGGGCGGCGGTCGCGGAAAATACGCGGAAAATCGCCGATCAAGGATTCGTGCCGACACCGGCCGTACAGAAATCAATTATCAGCGCGACGCGAGTCCGATCTTGACTTTATTTCCGCAAGTCTAATCCGTGTTCTCTGCGATCAGAAACTTTCTACTTTGTATCGTCAGATCATTACGCTTGAGGAACTTGTCGACAACACCCACAGAAAAGATTTCCGGATCCAATGCTAAATAGAGGTGTTACACTTTGATGTTATTTTTTGGCATTTTTTGGCGTTTTGTTTTTCCAGACTTTGCGTTATTTTGATGTTATTTTTTGCCATCGTGTTGCGTTTTGTTTTTCCGGATTTTGCACTATTTTGACAATGTTTTTGATAATGCCGTGGTCAGAGGTGGGCAGGGCTTCAATAAAACAACTTAGGCCCGGTTTCATCGACGTCGCTTAACTTTAAACTCAGTTTAGTTCGTTCTTTGTCCCGTTCCAACTGTTACTTTATCTAATTATTTCTCGAGATATGTAATTAAATATTACATGATTGAGACACGTAGAACGAGATTTTATCCATTTTTTCCCCCGAGTTGGTTACAGTCGCGGTTGGTAATTCACCTCTTCTTGATAAAAATGGGACTCATCCTGTACAATTATATTTGGGTCCGAAAAATTTCTAAGTCCCGAAGGAGGAAAATTTTTTAACAGTTCCAGCAGTTCTATTGGGAGTTCTGGGTAGCCCCTCAAGAGTTCTAAAGGAAATCCTAATGGCAAAATTAAATATTTCCAATACTTTTAGTGTTATCGCTGATTTCGAGATTTCATTTTGTGAAGTTAGCATCCCCAAGTTTCAAATTTAACTTTTTTAGGTTAATTCGCCAGAACTATTTTTAAAATTGATAAGGAACTCTAGAACTCTTCGGGGTGCATTCAGAACTGAAAAAAAAAATTATTTTTTGAGACATGAGGTGCCAACTTCACAGAGGTCTTACATTTATATGTTACTCTTGTCTCAATATAGTAAGTCAATCTGTTTTAATTCGATAGAGGAGAAGAAGAATTACTGATTTTATCATGATATTGTCTTATTTTTATACTAAATGAGGTTGTGACAAATATAAATGCGTCAAGAATAGTTTTTGTCTCGATAACAGAAATCCTTTCTGAGGGTGTATGTGCGATTGTACATACAAGTTGACCAGCAAACTTGCACAAAGTTCTTAAATATATTTATTGGCTGTAAAGTAGAATGTTTTTAGACGCAAAGTAAATCAGACTGAAGTGGAGTGCGAACGTGACATTTAGAAATGACAATAAAAAGTTTAAATAGATTTTTAAACATGTTAGAATCTCGAAGAAAAAAAAAAGAGACGTCAAGAATTCTCTCCTCTTCACACGTTACACTGGCGCTAACGTGTTTAAAAGTCTATTTAAACTTCGTATTGTCATTTCTAAATGTCACTTCTTCCTCTTTTTCTCTTACTCGAGCTTGTCTGCCGATTTACGGGATAAGGTTTCTAATTTGCTAAAAATTCCTGAAGCACTTGCATCACCGCGCGACTATAAGTGCCTGAAAAATTAAATGGTGAGCTTGTCAACCCACCTGTCAAATTTTATTAAATTCGTTGCGACCTTATTTTAGGTCCTTTTCACGTGAACGATACAAATAAGAAGAAAGCAGGAAAAACTCATAGACCGCACAATAAAAAGTCGCGTGTCGAGATGCTAAAATTTTCTTGTGTTACCAACACAATATTACGTAATATCGACATTTCGTAAAAATTATTTCAACTATTCTAATTTGTAACTATTCGTACAGTTCACTTATCCTGTCTACTTTCATTACCTCACACTTGAGGATAAAAGCGCATCAACATAAATGTGAAGTATAATGTGAACCAATTTAACATTTATAATTTGTCACGAAGTAACACACACACGATGAATGTTATTTTAAAATTTAGAGTGGACTTTTTGTGAAAAATGTTAACATTAACATTTTATTTTTCGCTGTGTGGCAAATTATTGTCGTCGGTGAAATAAAGTGAAAAGGTAAAAATTTGTGCGCAACATCCGAACGTTACCGCGGGTCCGAGTTGAACGTGTCTTTTTAAAAGCGACGCCGGTTACGCGAGAATATGACTCTCGGTCAACCGGCGAAAATGAATCTGAATTGGTAAGTCGAAGTGGCAAGTGCTCGGCGCGTGGCCCAGATGGAAAAAAGCGAATCGTTAAATTTGCCTTGGTAAATTCCGGCTTAGCCAAATGGCGGAAGAAGCGGTGATCGATCGTCGTAATTAAGCGCCGCGGCAAATGCGTCTAATTCAGCGTAACGCGGCTTCCTCGATAAATCACGGAGGCGCCAATAAGGTTTCTTAAACGCGCGTTTAGAAGCACAATCGGCGTGAGTCACGATTCGGTACACATACAGATTTGTAATAAATTTGTAGTGCCCATTAATATAACAGGATTGTACATACGCGTCGGTCATTTGAATTTCAATCGCCCGGGATTGTTTGGCTGCCGCGATTCGCTTACAATGTGCATTGAAACGCGTGTGAAGCTATTCCGAGAAGACCTTCCAGCGTAAGGTGCAAACAAGGTCTTAAAACCTGTACAAAGGTGCAGAACTATAAAAGACAGAAGTTTATCGATTACGCCACCTATACAACTGTAGAGGTTTCGTCATATACTTCTCCTCCCCCTCGTAATATATTCTGGACTAAATCTCGCGTTACATTGTTCCAAACTTGATACAAAAAAAACTATTTTTTTCCTAGCGCGGAGAGCAACGTTTGGAAAAGTAACGTGTCGGTAAAAATTAATTAATTAAATAAAAAGCGCTCGTTCCTCGCGGGATGCGATCTTTCGTCGAGATAATAATCGGATTAACGGGGAAAACAATTTAATATGCATCTGCGTCGGAAATAGTACAAATAACAAATTCCTTTTTCGTGCATCCGACAGACATGCACGCGGCGATCGTCACGCGAGAAATTTCACGATCGATCGGTCTCGCGCGCGGAATTGTTTTCGATTGGTCATCGGTCTTGTCGATTAATAATTGCAATGGCCGTCGTGTGTCCGCCAGAAATTTCGCGTTGTTACGCGAGCTCGGGGGGGGGGGGGAGCTTAAATCACGACTGTGATAGACGCCATCGCGCCGCGGGGATTCGCATAAATTACTAATTAGAATGCCGGGAAACGAGTGGCCCGGGCTCGGGGGATTCTTCTTGCCTCGGCTCCCCGCGTCGCGCTCGCGCGAGAATTTCACGGCTGATCGGCCGGCACTAACTAACTGTGCCGCCAGGATAATCTAGATAGGATCGTTAGTCTCTAATCTAAATCAGTTTGCAAATCGGTGCGGCATCAACGAGGCAATTTACCTCGTCTGATTTAATCAGAGACGCGTACCGCGTTATTGAACGTACACGCCACATACATGTGCAAAAACGTATACGTCAGACTGGCGTGCACAAAAAGTCGTGACGTTTGTAGGCCGAGGGATTTGCGTTTCGAATCAGTTCGGTAATCCCTGCCTTGCCGTTTCGTGCATAGGTTCTGTCCTGCTGTTAACAATAAGATCGCGGAGAACCGGCCGTTCTCCCGCGCGCGCCATTAACGAGAAACGAGCCTAATCGGCAAGTCCCTCCCTCGCGAATCCAAGTCGCGATTATTATGCGGCTGGGAGTTTTCCTTCTTCTCTTTTTTTTTGCCCTGTTTAAGGTACGTACACGCGGCCGAGAAGCAACGAGATTGCGCTCGCGTATCCCAAGTAGAAACGCCGCGATATCGCCAGACCGCGCCAACTCGGTCGGAACTTTTATATATCGCGGCACTTGCCGCGGAGACGTCGCCACGGAGGCACCTCCACCCCGACACACGTCGCACCAACTCCGATTAATTAAATCTCCTCGCTTTAGGTGGCGACGAGGCGAGCTAACCGAAATTTTAACGGCTTCGACAGCAACGCGAACGTTCATTATCGAGTTAATGCCCCGCGCTCTCGCAGCCAAGCCTCGTTTGCATCGCACGCCAGAAAACTGACTTTATCTACGCGACGAGAATTTTCTCTCAAAATTCGCGAAAATCGTGTAATCGTGCGACAACGTGGCGTCTCGGGCAATTTTAGGCGAGTTTTTTTTCAATTTTCCCCACACACTTTACCAGCGAAATGCGGAGCTTGGTATCTTGATTTTTTTTCGTCAAAAATACAAATACAAGTTATATTGAATTCCTTCGATTTAGATGTAGATACAAGATGCTGAAGTATTTTTCCGGACAAAGATACACATGGCGTCTGACTGAACGCATTCAGTCATTTCAATAACTTTTTGTCAGTGTAGTTGCGTTTCTAGTTTTCTTTTACATTTGTTCAAATCCTTGTTCTATATCACACTTCAGCAGGTAGACTTTGTAACAACAACCTTGTTGGTGCCCCACTTGTGCTTCGATCTTTTATATTACTTTTTCTTTCAATTAAATTAAATTAAATTAATTTATTTAAAAGCCCAGATACCATCTGCATCTGTAACTATGTCTGTAATTTAATTTGTTGCAAAAGAGCCAGGAGAAATATTTCTTGATTCAACCGTTTTTATTTCTCAGTGTAGATCTTTAAAAAACAAAGGTACCAAGCTCTGGTGAAATGTATAGTAAAATTTGAAAAAAAAGTCGCAAAGTTCGTGGAAATTCCACGTTGTCCCACGATTACATGGTTTTCAGGGTAAATTTGAAAAGAAAATTCTCGCCCCGTGTACCTTCCTGCTCGGGTCTGACGCGTGTATTTAGGCGTGCGCATATTACGCGCTTATCGCGGTGTCCGCAATTTTATTCCCGCCGTTTTATTTATGTCTCACGTATCTCGCGAATCTCCTCGGGCTGTCGGCGGCAACTTCGCACGCGCGAAAATATACATTTTTGCACGCGCGGAATCGGTTTTCCGCTAAATGCTGAACACGCTCGTTTCACATCGAGACCGCGGCCGCCATTTACGTGCCCTCAATAGTCTAATAACACGCGTGTTTATCGTTATCGAGTATTCCTTAATGTCCTCGGTATTTAAGATAATGGATATACCATAAGTGCCCGTAATGCGCATAACTGCAGTCCTTAAGGCCGCATCAGACTAGCAATTGCCAACTCGGCGTGGATTGGCGATTGACGATCGTCCTCTAGCCAATGAGAGTCGATTAAGCGCCGGCCGCTTCGCTCTCATTGGCCAGAAGACAATCGCCAATCCCAATCATTGGATTTGCGCGTCGACAATTGCTAGTCTGATTCGGTGGCGTTAGAAGAACCGATTTCCAAATTTTTGCATTTCGGCGCGTAATCGCGCGCGCGCGCGCATGACAGTCAAGTTATTTGTTCAACGTGCAACAATACCAACCGGGCGCGACTCGGCGGAAACCAGAGCGCGATAAACGCGCCGAATAATCGCAGCTTCCTCAACCAGAGGCACTTATCACTTGTGGGCTTCCGCGTGGAGTCAGACGAATTAACGCGCTCATCGTCGCGCCGCGAATCAATTCCTCGCCGATCCGACCGGCGCGTCCTAATTGCCCGCCGCCGAAAGAGGAGCGCTCCGTTCTCGGAGCCGGTCCCCGCGGGGCATCAATCAGGCCGCTTCTCCGCCTCGCTGGCACTTGACCCAGTTGACCCACGGGAGATTTCGCGGAATCGGACGGCGCGGTCGAAACGCGCATCTCGAACACGAGAGTTTCGCGGTCTCACCGGTGCCGTCCCATCGGAGTCGCGCGACGGAGCCGACGACGACGAGAACGAGGCCGACGGAGCCGGGGCCGAGGACGGCGAAACGCGGCGACGCAATCGCGGCCGGCTCGACACTGAAACGTTTCCTCCGCTTCGCGTTTCCTCCTACTCGCGTGGCCGTTTCTGCAACGTCGTTCGTATACGTGCCCCACCACCGCCGATCGAAGGACCGCGGCCGATCGTCGCGCGAGAGAAAGAGAGAGACGCGTGTCCCACGTGTGCGTGCTGCGCACGGTCCACGGATCAGATCACGTGGCAGAATCTATTAGCAGATTGCGGTAATTCGGCGCTCGGTAGCGGCGCAGTGGCGCGTTTTCAGGCCGGCGAGCGTTTAACCCGCGCCGCGGCGACGCCGATTTTTCACCTCGCGAGAGAACCGCGCGCGATATAATCGGGATAAGTGTGCGAGCGTCGTTTCTAATTGTAGAGATTTGGAGCGCGCGGCGGGAAAAGAGTCCGAGCGACGCGGCACGTTGGACGGATTTCGCGATCTTCCCCGTGTGTCGCGTACGATATTTATATCCGGTCACCGTGGCGCGGCCTCGTAAAATTACAGATAACACGCGCGTTACTCCCGCGCCCGTACACGAACCGCGGGACGTTTCCGAGCGCGCGAGTGTTTCACAATGGAATCCCCCAGATCGAAGCCGGACAACTTTGGACAACTTTACGAATAATACATTCGACCCGCCCCGCGTATCGGCGCCGCCGATCTTCCCGGCGCGCACGGTTGGCCCCCTCAAAAATACGCCGCCTACGTCGCGGCCCTTAATATTGGAAGTATGTCAAACAACGACGGCGCATGAATATTTTACATTCAGGAATTTTATTCTAGGAATTATTATCCGTCGACGTGTGTTTCTGTAAAAGTTAGATCGGGGAATACGGCCACTAATGCCCCTCGGGCACATCCGTAAAAATAGAGTTTGAAAGTATTTCAAGATCCCACGGCGGTGGTGCCGTCGAGCTTTTTATCGGCTCTGTCAAACGTATATACGTATCGCTTACGTCCGCGCCGGTCGCCGCGAATCGGACGAATAGGAACAGCCCCTGTCTTCATTTTATCAGAGCAAGCTTTACCCCTCCACCCCGATGTAAAGCTCGCCCCGACGTTCCCTTTGCCCGAAGGACATGAAATATTACGCGCGAGAAGCTAAAGTCCTCCTCCTGCACATACGTCGAGTCGCCGAGGTTCGTGCGTGCCGTGTTTCTCGCGTCGTTAAAAACGCATTGTCAGCGGTCTCGTTAAGTGCGGGATATCGCGCGGCACGAGGCCGCAATTTTCGTCGCGGCTGAAACGCGATTAGATACCGCGCGGTTAATCTGCCGGAATCGCGCGAGCCAGGGGAAAAAAACGAAAGAAAAACATTGAAATTAATTCCCCGCGCGTTATTAATCTTCCAATTAGCCTGCGCCGTGAACGCGCGTCCGTGTCGCGGCAAATATGTATATCCCACCCGTTTTGCGTTACGACGTTATCGGATAACGTTGTAACTTGCATTCGCCGTGCCTCGGAAGCTTACGCCAGCGGCGAAAATGATACGATACCGTGGCATGGCGGCACGTGCTCGCGATCGCCGACATACGAGAGAGAGAGAGAGAGAGAGAGAGAGAAAGGGGGGAGGGAGCGACCGCACACAATGTATACCTAGTTGTATAATGATCAATAACACGAGGCAGAAATGAGGCAGCGGTCGATGGTGAAGGACGATGAGAGACCGTTCCCGAATAGATAAGACGGCGAGTTATCGCGCGACGGGCAATCGAATCCGGTCCTCACCTGGTGTGACCCGAATAGGTAATTAGGCCCGTGAAATCGCCTCTGTTTACCAATCGATCGCGATCGATCGGTTAAATATTGGCCGGCCCGCCGCAAAGCGTAACCCGAGACGCGGCGGTTTAATTTCATTAAAATTTCCGGTATTACGGCTCGAGCTCAAGTGGCTGGCAAATACCTGATAGCGTATCAAACGTGCACGCTGCGGCACTGCGCGCATAGATATAGGTTTGCGTGCGGAGCGGGTGCTAACGAACGTGGAAGGTACACCGAGAGACCCATTTTGTCGAGTGAAACGGAACAATTTCATTGAATCATTTTGCTGACTGAACATGTAATTCGGTTGTACAAAACAAAAAGTATATTGCTGAAAAGAAGTCAAGTGTTACAACAGCTAAATAGTTTGTTTCCACGAGTTGTTTATCTGAACATAATTTATGGTTGAGATAACAAATTCGTCCGTCTCGAAGTACGGTATTCCGCCACTAGATGGCCGCCGAACTCGTAAGTGATATAACCGCACATCGTACGAAGTTTGATAATAATATGAATTTGCTGTTTATTGCAAAACTAGGTGTGGATGTGCAGCACCGTTTTGCAATAACACCTCGACAAAGGGATACGCATCAAAATAATCAAAATCAATCACGATAACCTGTCGTTTGTAAAACTATAAAAGTGGCGTAAAATTATCAATTCAAAATTCAGTGGGAAAATCATAAACATGGCGATCCAATCAGAGGCTGGACACCGCATGTCCAAACTCTGATTAGAGGGTCTCCACTTGTAAGTGAGATCACGATAGCCCGGCTATGTATAATGTACCCCGTCACCGGCCGGGACGGTTCTTTCGCGACAATCAGCAGAATAAACGAAACTGCACTGAGAGACCCGTTTTGTTGAATGAAACGAAAGAATTTGATTGAATCATTTCGTTGACTGATCCGTTTAGTTGAATATTATAAAAGGATTCTGCACATGTTCACTCAACCGAATTTGTGTGTCGATATAACAAAATTTTCTAACTAAATTTTTTTTGTTGTATCAACCGAAAGATTCGTTTGCTCATATCCAAATCAGAAATTTAGTTGGGTCAACTACATTTTGTTTCATTCAACAAAATCGGTCTCTCAGCGTATAATCGAAATATCAGACTACGTCTCTTTAGACTGCGCTCGTCGGATAATCGTCCGAGGGGAGGTTTTCGACGCCAGTTGGCTTCGAGCGCGACGCATCGTCGACGCCTCCCCAAGTACGTAGCTATACACCAGCGGCTATAGAGCCGGGAGCTTCCGATCCGAATAAAAATCGCGCGAATGTAACGCGACATTTCAATACTACCTAGGCCGGTTCTTTTTCCTCGGGTAATCCCCCACTAGATAAACAATGATCGCGCCGCAGACGACGAGAGGGGGGAGGAGGATACAGCGCGGGAAGTTTGATCGATTCGTATTCAAGCCGGACGAATTTCGGGACGGATATTTGCGCAAGCTAAACCTACCCCTTCCTCTACCCGGGTTTCCGCATTCGCTTTCCGAGCACGTTGCCGGCCCAGACGAGATTCTCGGGGGCGCAATCTCGCGAGGTCGCGTAGTTTGTAACGCAACTTTCGGGCATCGGAGGGGGCGAGTAATAAGAACAAGTCCCTTCCCGCCGAACGGCGTGCACCCTATGTAGCCTCCTGTGGCGCCCTTTGATTTGGAGGGCACATGGCCACCCTGCACGCTGGTCGATAACCACCGCTCGGCAGACACCATGTGATTCTCTTTCCCTCTCTCTCTTTCGGTTTTGATACCCCTTTACCTTCCCTCGATACCTCTTACCTATAGCCGCCCATGGGCGTCGGCAGAGTTTTTCGCGCGAGCGACAAGATAATGATAGTAATAGTCAGGGTTGTGCCGTAAATTTCGAGATTGCATCTGCATAGGTTGTTCGCGTTGCGTGCTTTTCATGTAGACAATATGAGCCGTGTAAATTATTGTAAATTGATTTTTTTTTCAACCGCATTTTCACAAACGGTCCTGAAAAAGTATAACAGGTTTTGGGCTTTCGAATCAGATGCGCTTCAGTCGTTATTTATTAATTAATTAACGGTACAAAAAGATGAATTACTCAATATAGAAATATTGTTATTTACGTGATCTGATCTGTTAATTTCTGCGGCGTGCTAAAAAATTGTGCCCACGCTGAATAATAGTAGCTGCAAGTAAAATCGCAAACAAAACACAAATTCCCGATATTCCTGATGAAATATGATGTTCGATGATCTGTGGATTATTCATTCATTGTTTACATGACACATAATTTGCATTGTATACGTGTACAATAGGTTATTATACGCATAACCGCCCAATCCTGATAACAGTGTTGACCACAACAATTAGTCACTTCTGATGAAAGAAAGAGCGAATGCGATAACGATACGTGATTACATGATTGTCATCTATTGTAGATATCTATTACATTTTCACCTTTCCACATGATCTTTTATCGCGTACAGCGTCAAATCAGATAGTGTCAATTGTTCATGTTGAAATATTGATGCAATGACGACAAATAACAAATTTGATGTCATATTGACTCCACTTTGACTAGATCGTTTTCACTGGGTGGTTTTCTAATTGTCTTTTGTTAAGGCTCGAGGACACGGAAAGACAAACTTGTCTCTGCTCAAATCTAGTACAAGCAGTCACGTATATAACTGTAGGTATACAGGGTGGTGAATCCTGAAATAGTTAGTCAAAATCAGGGATTGGATTAGGCTCGTTATAAGGATGAAAAAAGTTCCCAGAAACGTTAGTCCAGAAACGTATCCTTCAGCAGTTACGATTCATTTAATTATCAATCTCGAAGAATAAATACATTAAAAATTTCGTACTTACTGTAATTTGTGCTTTTTTTAATTAATGTGTTCGAGAAGTAGCTTAATCGAGTGATCTGTTGTCACAATTGAAATCTGCTACTATTGTTCGGACACGGGAACAATACCTGAAAATTCAAAACACAGCAATCTCGAAATACGCCAGGAACCTAGGAGCGTGTTAGACAGTCAATGGTTAGATGAAAGCACGTGTTTTCGTTAACAGTGGACATTTTTAACAATATAGAAATGAATATCCGCTATCTTATATTTCAATTGTAACAGCTTTGTTTTTTTTTAAATATATATTACATTGTCAACTTTTATGCTCGTAAAAATTGGCCTCTTTTGTTTACTTGTTGTTAAATATAACACGAGCGGAATTATTATTTGTAATAAAAATGAAGTTTTTTCCTTTCATAGCCTCCCATTCTTTTGTATCAGGTATTAATAATTGAATGAGTCGTAACCCCTGCGGAATGCGGTTTTGGACTAACGTTTAATGGGAACTTTTTCCAACCATACGACGAACCCAATCCAACCCCTGAGGTTGGCCAACTATTTCGGGACCACCCTGTATAATCGTGCACGTAACTCGAGCAATTAAATCACGAGTCGTACAAAGGAGGGACGATTAGGGGTAGTAATAATTAAGTAAAACGTGAAATAACGGTGAGCGCGAGGCGGCAATTCACCGAAGAAAACGAGGGTAATGGGAGGAGCGGATGTCGGCGCGTTGGGTTACTTGAATGGGAGAAACTTCGGCGTGCTTGAATAGGAGGAACTTGGTTTAAACACGTTTTAATGCACGTTATCGATTAGGGCACCTGTGGTCTGCCTAACAAAATAGCGTCTTTTTAATGAAAACTTTTCTCGGTCCCTCGCCTCGAGCGAGCCGGGGAGGATCGCAAGGTTGCATCCCCTTGGATTCCGCTCACGGCGCCCATGTGTCTCCTTTCCTTACCTCCCCGGCTCCTCCCCTTGTCCGTCCCCGTGTCTCTCTCTCTATCTCTCTTTCACTGCCATTCTCCATCCATTTCCGCCCGTCCCACCTCCGTCGTCATATTGATCGTGACTTATAATACCAACGTATGATGTATAATGTTGTAAATCGGGTATCTCG